TCTAGTGCGAAAGGGGGGACTCTAATGTGAAAGTAGGCTCTTAATGTGAAGGGGGGGCTTCTGATCTAAAGGGGACTCTGATGTGAAAGGGGCCCTGGTACACAACGTTTTTTTACATTTTAGAGTGGTGTGACTTGAGAATTTGCATGCTCTTAAAGGGTGCCGTGACTGGAAAAAGATTGAGAAACGCTGCTGTAACCATCGTCTCTCTTTCAGGAACATCACCCTCCTGCATTACCTAATTATGCTATTTGAGAAGACCTATCCGGATATCCTTAACATCCAGAATGAGCTGCAGCACCTCCCAGAGGCCGCCAAAGTCAAGTGCGTCACTTCTCCGCTCTTATTCCTGCTTAGCGCTGTCTGTGTCTGGGCTAACATAGTCTAACAGGCTCAATTCACAAAGCTTTACCACACGAATGAGGATCATATTTTTGGCCATGTGACCGTAACGTTCAAATCTCATTGGCTTGTGTATTTGCTAGATGCAGGTATCCGAGCTATCCAGATGCAAGGGGTTGGTGAAGTTAGAATGGGGAAAAAGTAGATTAGCGGAGGTCAGCTTCTGTTGCAGGAGGATAGGTAGATCCAGAGATAAATACATCTTCATTGACATGTTAGTCTTGACTTTTCTTGTAAAAGTCAAGCTTAGCCCTGCCCCTTATTGAGGCTGCTGGTCCATGTGATAAGCAGCCTCGCAAAAAGGGAGAGTCGGGATTAGGTGGAGGGGACAGGGCCAGGTTTGACTTTATAGGAAAAGTCAACATTTGCATAAAACTTCAGCTGTTTATAAATCAGTAGCCACATTTTGATTGAGCTGAATTTTTTACCTCCTTACCCATTACATTGGCTTTCCCCATCATGTGATTAGCTATCACAGTGATCATGTGATTGGGAGCGCATCCTACCGGCTCCTGATTGTCACTGTGTCACAGTATCGCAGTGCTGGGGGGAGCGTGATTGAGCATGCTCCTAGCAAAAAACATAGCTGGGTATATGTGGCGGCATGGAATAAACCCCACCTTTGTTCTGCCACATTTCTGCGTATGGTCAATAGCAAGAGGTTAAAATGAACAACTAAATACATTGTGGATATACATTCATGTGAACTATTTTAGCTACCAAAAATGTAGTATTTCTCTTCAGCTGTTCCTGTGAGTGGACAGAGCACACAGGAAGCCTCAAAACGGCAATAGTAGATAGTGGTGTCACCTTCCTGGCTATGCAGTGTGGCGGGAGGGTATAAATCATGTGACTGGCTGGAGAGAAGTACAAAACCTCTGGAAGCTTAAACATCTAAACTGACACAATTCTTATCCTGAAATACAATTCTCATCCTATAAAACATTATCTGTAAAAAATGAAACTTTCTACCTTCTCTGCTTATTCTCTGTGTCCCCGGGCCCCTAGATACCGTGTTTCCCCGAAAATAAGACACTGTCTTATATTTTTTTAGCCCCCAAAAACCACACTAGGTCTTATTTTCAGGGGATGTCTTATTTTTTTTTTTTTTAATGTGCAACAATCTAAAGTTATCTGGTATTACTCTGCCTGTCACAGTAACTGGCGCTCTAGCGGAATATCGGCTAATGCGGCTCTGCTCTCTCCGCCGCCGCAGCCTTGCTTTCTACAGCGCTGGCTTCCTTTGCCACCAGGGACAGCGGTACCAGCTGTGCAGCAGTGGGGACATCAGACAGTGGACAGCATGGTAAAGTACGGTACCATTTACCGGTACACATTACAGTACAGTACCATTACATTAAGCAGTGCCTTCAGGGGGACAGCAGTTGGTGAAGTATGGTACTGGAGTGCTCCCTGTCACTGCGCTGGCCAGAGGGAGTCCCGTCATCCCCTTAATACAGTATGTCACTGCAGGCTGATACCATCTCTCCTGCAAGTTCCACAGTTCACATGCTACCACCAAACTAGGTCTTATTTTCGGGGTAGGTCTTATATTACAGGAATCTTGAAAAATAGTGCTAGGTCTAACTTTCGGGGTAGGTCTTATTTTCGGGGAAACAGGGTAGCACCGCCTAGCACACAGCTGTTGCGTCAATGGAAATCAATTGGACAGCAGTGATCTGTGACACTATATAATAATACTAACCAGTGATCTCTCTGTCTCTCTGTCTTTAGCTTAGGGGAGTTGGAGAAGGAAGTGCACAACATTAAGAATGGAATGAAGGCTGTGGAGGCCGTGAGTATTAACTCTTCTTGTCTTGTACGGGAATGGGTATTTTATTGTATGGGTTCATCAATTGTATGGGTGCTTTATTGTATGGGTGTCTCATTGTATGGGTGTCTCATTGTATGGGTGTCTTATTGTATGGGTGTCTTATTGTATGGGTATCTCATTGTATGGGCATTTTATTGTATGGGTGTCCTATTGTATGGGTATTTTATTGTATGGGTGTCTCATTGTATGGGTGTTTTATTGTATGGGTGTTTTATTGCATGGGTGTCTCATTGTATGGGTGTCTTATTGTATGGGTATTTTATTGGATGGGTGTCCTATTGTATGGGTATTTTATTGTATGGGTGTCTTATTGTATGGGTGTCTCATTGTATGGGTGTTTTATTGTATGGGTGTTTTATTGCATGGGTGTCTCATTGTATGGGTGTTTTATTGCATGGGTGTCTCATTGTATGGGTGTTTTATTGTATGGGCATTTTATTGGATGTGTGTCCTATTGTATGGGTATTTTATTGTATGGGTGTCTCATTGTATGGGCATTTTATTGTATGGGTGTCTCATTGTATGGGTATTTTATTGTATGGGTGTCTCATTGTATGGGTATTTTATTGTATGGGTGTCTCATTGTATGGGTATTTTATTGTATGGGTGTCTCATTGTATGGGTGTTTTATTGTATGGGTGTTTTATTGCATGGGTGTCTCATTGTATGGGTGTTTTATTGTATGGGTGTTTTATTGCATGGGTGTCTTATTGTATGGGTGTTTTATTGTATGGGTGTTTTATTGTATGGGTGTCTCATTGTATGGGTGTTTTATTGTATGGGTGTTTTATTGCATGGGTGTCTCATTGTATGGGTGTTTTATTGCATGGGTGTTTTATTGCATGGGTGTCTCATTGTATGGGTGTTTTATTGTATGGCTACTCAGTGCGAGAACTGATATTGCTGCGCTATGGGGAGGCTGAGGATATTTTCACCTAGAAAAGTGGAAGGCACGCCACGACCCACTGAAGACAGGGTCGCAACCCACTTTTGGGTCACGATCCACCAGTTGAGAACCAACGGCTCAGAATAACTGCCAAAAACTTACTTTCTAGGCCAACCTCCACAAATTTAAAGCGCCTGACTCCATTCCTTGACTTTTTTTTTTTAACATAATTACTTCTAATACACAATCTTATACAATGTTTCATCAATGGTCTTTATTTTCCTAAAAGATGAGGTCTAGTTTTTGCTCTTTTTTATCCTTTGAACTTCTAAAACTAAGGAACACTTTAAACAAAACTCATGGATCCAATCCAGTTGTGGTTAGAGAAATTAGGATTGGAAGAGGCGTAATAACATCTCGCACGAGCCAAGATGTGACTTAGAAGTCATCCAGCTGGTTAATGAACGATGGGAGATGAGTATAGAAAATAAACAGAAAATCAGGGGCAATGTCCTCGTTGTTGGGCCAGAACCTTGCAGGCTCCGCAGTCATAAGCTGGAAACCTGGATGTTCTTGTGGTGGGACTCATTTTTTGTTCAGATGTTTGACAGCAATATTATTAGCCAACCACAATGACGACAAAGCCCTGAAACAATACCCCATGTTTAGGAGGAGGCCTTCTGAGAAAATGTAAGTGATACAAAAGACGAGTCAAAAAACTTGCTTTCTGTCCTGTTGTTAAATTAGAAAAACCACTTAAATCAGAAATTTAAAGTACAAACGTCAAAAAAGGAGTTTCAGGATACAGATCCGTGTCTATCATGAAATAAGCACCATATCGTTGCTTGTTCTTTAAAGCTTAAGGAGAACCTGTCATCAATTTAAACAATTGCAGGTAAATGTAGAGCCAAAGGAAATGGTCCTCACCGCTCCAATTCCTTAGCCACCATCAGGACTCCCCAAGTGCTGGTCTAATAGGTGCGTCTCCACCTTGGAATATAGTAGTATATGAACAGGCCACACTAAGCCTGCGGGTGAAACATGTGAGAGGTTGTAGCTGGTTGGGGGTTTGCGGTGCTGGTATTTGCTGCTTTATACACTTTAATTCACTGTTATTGAATTTGCTGTGATTTTCATTAGAGTTTGAAGTATTGCAATTGCAGGTAAAAGCACAGAAAAATCAGGCACTGTAAGTGCTTACATGTAACATTCTTCCTTTCAATAAGCAAGATTTGTATTCACTTTGGGCCTGTTAGAGAATTTGACCAGTCCAGGAAGTGTCAATTTCCACAGCATAGCCATAGTTTCCCTTGCTCTGTATCGTAACCCTCTACTCTTCTAGGATTGTCTAATTCCTGTCTGTGTTGGCCCAGCTCCCCCTTCTCACCTCCCTCCATTACCTTTTATGTAGCAGCTGGATGAGAAGTTGTCTGGTGTGGTGACTTACCATATGATCTAGTTTGGGGGTACCCTTAGGATACCTTTGTTTATTTCAGCACCTATTTTTCTACTAGTTGCAATTTTCTGCCAATGTTTAAATGGGTGTGCATGGCCCTTTATTAATAACCACCACTCCCCGCAGGGATTCCCCCCTCCCCGCTCCGATCATCCATCACTTACTGGCGGAACGGACCGGGGAGGGGGCGGGCACAGCTGGCTCTGCCTCTAGATAGGCAGAGCCAGCTGTCACTCACGCAGCTGGGTGAATCTCGACAGTAATGTCGGGATCCGTTCCAGCTGTGGCGTCTCAGTATACCGCGAGCTGTAGCTTGCGATATACTGAACTTTGGGTCACAGGAGGACGCTAGTTTGTGTCCTCCCATGACCTTTAGGAGAACTATGGGGAAAAACACTGCCCCCATAGTTCTCCTTTAATGCAAATTTTTTTTTCTAAATGCATTGCACTAGAATCGTGATGTGAATGACCTCTCCAGGAATCAACAGGAATTTTCTACTCAGTCCAGTTTTCATGCACGGGGGAGGTGCATAGAAGCACAGACGTGATCTTGGTCCGAAGAGCTCAATATCGTCACACTTTTCCTTTCTTGTCTTGGACGTTTCCTTTCTTGTAGGAATGATCTTCTTAGGCCCCAAGGGACTGGCCGGTGATTGAAGAGAAGTCACTCTCGCTGCTCCAGTTCCCAGCCAGCCTTGTCCTGTGAATGACCAGCATTGTAAACCTTAAACTGGGAGAATCTAGTCGCTGCACATAGGCATCCAGGGAAAGGCTATGGGGCTAAACGTATTAGACTTTGCCGCAATTATCACAGTAAAGCAGCGAAATGGAAGCGCTGACCCCTCCCCTCCACCTTGTTAATTGAATTATAATGGCTGGTTAAAACTCACGATCATCAGAAAGAGAGAAGAATGCCTTCATTCTGAGCCGCGAGTCCGCGCCGAGCGAGCACCAGATCAGTTAATGAGCCACTGGGGTGTGTGTGGCTTCCAGAACAAATTTAAGCCGTATTAAGCCCACCTAGTCTGCGAGCTGTGTGTGTACGTCTTTTATTCCCGGCGACCCGGCGCCACCCTCCAAATGACTTTCACTTTCCTATAATACAACGACACCATTGTCCTCCGCACAGCCAATCCGTCCATTATACTTGGAAACTGCAATTTATTTTATTCTAGGGAAACGAAAAAGTACTAAGCGGGATATTCACAAAGCTGCCGGAGGCAGAAAAGTGAATAACATAGCCAAAGTGAAGTGAGCCAAACGCTGTACGGCTATCCACTTCTGGCTTGTACGGCTGATTTCATCCGTACATCGGCTGCCTTTGGTCAGCTGAACATGCTCTGCAGAAGGACTTCGACTCAGCCGATCCAACATCTGGATGGGCTGAGTCGAACCTCCGGCAGCTCACATTCACATAGGGGCCAAACGGCAGTAAGTGAATAGCCGAATGCCGCCAAGCAAGATTCGGCTCGGCTATTCTGCTCGGTACCTCCGTGGTACTGAGCTGAATAGCAAAATAGTTAAATGAATATAAAAAAAAAAAGTTGAAAAAATATTTTAAAAATATAAACAAATAGTGAAAATTAAAAAAATAAAGATATTTTAAAGAGAAAAAAAACACCATAATTGTGAGGAGCTAACGGTGGCAGATAGCTCCGCCCAACTGTTTCCTATTGGCCTCCACCTGCTAGAGTCTTCTAGAAGGTGCTGGCCAATGTAGAACAAGTGGGCGGAGCAAGTCATGATGTCACGGCCGGCTCCGCCCACTTCTTATTGTTTAATGACAGATCAGCGTCCCCAGGTGATCTGTCATTATAACTGGGCGGAGCGAGCAGTGATTTGTCCTTCGGCAGGCCGTTCTCCCCGCTTCGGCTCAGTCAAGCCAAAGCATATGCCTTCGGCTCGGCTGAGCCGCTCGGCTGTCTTCGGCTGCGGTACGGGCTATTGTAAATAGATCTTGTGTTACTGTGCGGTGTGGTAAAACGTGTTTATAACAATTGGGGGTTCATTTATAAAAGTTCCGCCCGGGTAAATGCTGTTAACACAGCACTAGTTCCTCTAGATGGCACTGATGAGTATAGGGATTTCCTACACTCATCAGTGCCATCTAGGGGCGCTAGTGCCCTGTGAACAGCATCTATCCGGCTGCACGCCAGGCAGAACTATTATAAATGTTTTAGGGTTCATCTATAAAAGTTCCACCCGGGTAAAGCCGGGTGAATGGATATTGCACGGCACTAGTGCCCCTAGATGGCGCTGATGCGTATAGCAATCTGTTGTATTCATCAGCACCATCTACGGGCTCTAGTGCCATGCAAATCTATCCGGATTTACCCAGGCGGAACTTTTTTAAATGAACCCAATACAGTAGGTGAGAAGCCGGCCTTAGGATTGGAGTGAGAAAGCAGTAAGGATCAGCTTAAAGTAGAACTACACTCATGTTAGTCTTAGGCCTGGTTAACACCTGCACATTCTGATGGCGACTGGCGATGTGCGTGATCGGCATGTGTCTGTGGAAACGCGCCAAGACGCACTTGCTGTGCCATTGATTTCTAAAGGCACCCCAAATGCGGCCAGCAAGTGGTGAGGTTTTCTGCTGCGTTTCCATGCATGCAAAAGCAGCAGAGAAATGCATCCCGTGCATCGCACAAAATAGTGGAGGAGCCATTTTGCTGTGTTTGCCACGCAGATAGCTTGGTAATATTCCCTTCGCACACCGTACCAAGGTACCCCAAAATCCAGCGAGTGCTGGAGCAACTGGTGGATGGCGCCACAATGTACAATCTAGGACATATGTTGTCCGCACATCATTCTGCTTCGGAATGTCCTTTTTATGTGTATTCCTTTAGCATGACATGTGAATGCAAATGTGTATTCCTTTAGCATGCACATGTCATGCTAAAGGAATACAAATAAAAAAGACATTCCGAAGCAGAATGGTGTGCGGACAACATATCTTCTAGATGCCACGTAGATATGACCACTGAAATTAATGGAGCAGCGCGGCAAATGCATGCTCACGGGACATGTAAGTGTGAACCAGGCCTTATTCTTTACTCATAATTAGCTTGGGAGGGCCAATCAGAAAGCTGGGCCCTTTGTCCCTTGGGTTTGCCACTGGGTGCACTGTAGTCTGGAAAAGTGATATTAAAGGATAATTTTTCCCCTCCCCCAATGTTAGTGTAAGGCTTTAAATGATGTCTCTTAATCCGATCATCTTCTTGTCGTTCTCAGCTGTCCCTCCAGCGCTGGTGTGGGTCTCTGATCCAGCGCTGACTCCTCTGTCCTCCTCTTCTCTGATGTCCCACGGTGTCTGCATGCGGGTGCACGCTGCTCCATATACTTACCTTGTGTCTCTCCTCCTCTCCCGGCCGAACATCTGAACTGCGCATGCGCCCGCCCCAAGATCTTTTGCGGACACCCAAGAAATTTTCAGATGTTCGGACAGGAGCGCGCCGTGGAGACACAGGAAGGTATTAACCCTTTGCAAAAGTTTTTTTTTTTTTAATCGTTCTGCATATATGTACTGCTAGCTAGCAGTACATATATGCAAAAAAAAGTGAGGGTCTGATAACCCTTTAAAGGATAACTATGGGGCTAAGGCTTTTCCCCATAGTTCTCCTTAGGGTAACGGGAGGACACAAACTAGCGTCCTCCCGTCACCCAAGGCTCAGTATACTGCGAGATGCCGCAGCTGAAGCGGATCCCGACAATTATGCCGGGATCCGCCCAGCTCCGTGACTGACAGCTGGCTCTGCCTATCTAGAGGCAGAGCCAGCTGTACCCGCCCCCTCCCCCGTCCGTTCCGCCAGTCA